CTAGACAATGGTAGGCCTGAGCTAATGGCCAAGCAGTTTAAATAATATAAACATCTGTGTGTTTATTTTATAAATGGGCTATGGAACTGCTGGGCCTTGGCAGGACCCGGAGAGAAACTCTCTAGCTACAGTACTGTTACGTTGTTGCTAACGCAATTTGCAGGGTTAACATGCAAGGTTTTGTTATCACAGGCTGTAACTTGAGAAATGGATTTGAATGAATCTTAAATAAATATTATATACCAACACAAGAGTCACTGTGCAAAACAACAGTGTTGCCAGTTGCTCCCTGTGAACATTATAAAAAGAGCATCTTGATCAGCCCTCCAGGAATATTACAGAATGAGAGTCAGATTGTGGCGAATTCAGTTAATGGAGGATGTATTTCTGGGATGTGTTTACAGGAAATCTGAGTTCATGTTCCTTTTTTTCCCTTTTAAAGATCTATTTTATTATTTTATGAGTGTGGTCCATGTGGGTGCAGGTGCCCATGGAGGTCAGGAGAATGTCAAATCCTCAGTAACTGGAGTTATAGGTAGTTGTGAGCTGTGTGTAGGTACTGGGAATGGACCTGGGTCCTCTGCAAGAGCAGCAAATGTTCCTAACTACTGAGCCATCTCTATTCCCACACTTCTAGAGGAATTCTATAGCTGATTAATGCATTAAGGGAATGAATTAATGATTAAGGGAAAATGTCAGCACACAAGCCTTGTAAGTGATCTTCACAGAACAAGGAGAGTGCTTTCATAACCTGGACCATCCTTACACAAATGCTTAAATAAAGCCACCAAGGAGATTCTCAGGTACATGATGTGATCTCAGGCCACCATTACGAGGGCAGAGTGTATAGACAATGAGGGAAAATCCATAGAAGAAATCACTGCTACTCAAGGGACTGAGGCAGGAAGATTCCAAGTACATACCTGTCTGGGACCAGTGAGCTCAAGGCCAGCCTGGGTAAGTTAGTATGACTCTATATAAAAATAAAACAAAAATAAAAAAATAGAAGGTACTTTTGAGTTGGCTACTATGACTGGAGACCACTTTGTTCTAGGAAACTTTTGGGGAGCCTTATGATGTGTATTCCATATTCTCTGTGTAGGAGATAAAAGGGAGAAATATTTATTCATAAGCTTCTGGCTCCACAGATTCTGGATCATCTGTATTCCCAGGTTGCATGGTATGAGTGTTGAGTGAGTTTGGTGGTATCAGGTGCACAGTTTGGGAGAAGCCCTGAGTAATGAAGCAAGAGGAGATGGGTGGCACAGGGCCTACGATGAAGCATTGTCACATTGCACCTGTGTGAAATGGATTATGTTCCTACAACAGTGATGGGAGGAAGCAGGACCAGAATGAAGAAATCAACCTTAAAAGGCCAGTGTTGTAGTCACCCTCCACCTAGTTTGCCAAGGGGCTGTTCTTTGCAGCTACCTATGCTCAATGGCTGGGCAAAATTCCACAGAATCACCGATTCAACAGACAGTACATTCAAATTATGCCTTTCCCAGGAACCATATTTACTGGGCTCATGTCTTAATTTCGACTTATGTTGGGTTGAATCATGCTCCACAAATGGCTACCATCGAGGCAACAATTTATGTGAAAAACATTAGAGTTCACACACTAACAAAGTTAGGACTTTTTAATATACACCTGAGGAAGATAAGAGTCTGTCTCATATTGATGATGTTTTTGTGTATAAAAATCAATATTAACATAAGATTTTGAGAAATACATGAATAGTTTTAGGCATAAAATAATATACATGAAGAAACTTAGGTGCTCTATAATGGACAGAAATGTACTTTTTAGTTTATGAGTTTTTTCAGAGCTTTTTTTTGTATTTGAGAGACATCAATTTTCTTTCTTTTAGTTGGAGTGGAAACAGTTCTCACATCTGTCATTAGAATGTTTTCAAACTTTTATCAATCAGCACATCCTAAAGCATACTGATGTCAGTATTCAGGTCAGTGAGCATGAGTTTGCCCTGGGGAGGAAAACAGCTGTTTTCTGCTAATTACAAATTTAACTTAAAGTCAGTAGATTCATGAGCTGTGGTGATTACAGAGATAAGATTCTGGAATGGGGTTGTAATTTTCAGTATCTTTTCCTATAGTGGGATGCTGAACTATAGTTATGCCATTTTGTGAAAGTATTCTTAAGGAAAACTTTAAGTGATAAAACAGTCCTGGGTAAACTGGTCACTGGCTGCATAGACCAGCCATAACTTTCTATACAGTGTGTCCCTGAACTTAAGGTTTGAGAACAGCCTCTTTAACTGCTACCTTTCTGCTTCTGTAAACAAGACTTGCTTTCTTCCTTCAGATACCCACAGCTGCCTTCCTGTACACATCACACAATTGCAGTTTTTGTCTTTAAAAGCTCAAGCAAATTGGAGGTCAGGGCTACTCCCCACCTCTCTGTATGGGGCATTCCCACTGGTGGAGAATAAAAGCTCCACATAATTTTACTTATTCAGGCTTCTTGGGTGGTCTCTTTTTGGGTATCCCATAATATTCCTTAAAATTATTCCTTCAAGCAGTAGAATACTGATGAATACATTGACAGCTTTGACTTCATGGAAGAAAAGGGACATTGATGGTAGAAACCAGAAGTTCTACCTCCAGAGCACACATGGTTGCCATCTTCCTGGACTCCTCAGGAAACTTTTGAAGCTATTGCCTCAAATCTTGCCCCTTCTCACTTGTCAAGTAGATGAGCCAAGTTTAACAATGGCAGCTATTTTTTGGACTAGTGTGTGCATCCTCTAAGAATTTATACATTTCAATCCTACTGACTACCATAATGGCATTTGGAGTTAGGGCTTTGGAGAGGTGATTAAATCAGAATAAATCATGCTCCATTGATGTTGTTGGTTAGTGTCTTTCTGAATAGAGTAGGTTGTAATCAGACATTTTCTTTCACCTGCTTGTTCCCAAATACCCAGCAGCTGCTTCCCAAATTACCACACAGAGGCTTATATTAATTATAAATGCTCAGCCAATAGCTCAGGTTTATTACTACTAACTAGCTCTTACATTTTAAGTTAATCTGTATTCCTTATTTACACTTTGTCATGTGGCAGTACCTTTATTAGCATAGTACATCCATCATCTGCTCCCTCTGCATCTGGCTGGTGACTCCTGACTGTAGCATGAATCTTAAAAGTTCTTATTAATAAAATCAAACCTGAGGTCAGTTATTGGGGTGAAGCTGGAAGATCAGAGAGACAGAACAAGCCACAGCTAACCTCACCAGGCAAACTTCTCAGCTGATCTTGTTTCCTCAGACTGGAAGCCTCTGTGTCCTCATATCCAAATGGCTCTCAGCTGAACTGTGATGCTCAAAACCTAAAAGCTTAACCAGCCAAATGCTTAACCAGCCAAATGCTTCTTGTTCCTGGTCCTCATGCCTTACATATCTTTCTGCCTTCTACCATCACTCCCTGGGATTAAAGGCTGGCTTTCTGGGATTAAAGGCATGAGTCACCATGCTTGGCTGTATCCTTGAACACATGGATTTCTGCCTAGCTCTGCCTCCCAAGTGCTGGGATTAAAGGTGTGTGCTACCACTGCCTATCCTCTATGTTTAATATTGTGGCTGTTCTGTCTCTGACCCCAGATAAGTTTATTAGGGTACACAATATTTCGGGGAACACAATACCACCACACCTGACTCTGCCTTTCTCCTTCCCATCATCCTTACTTTGGTTGTCTTGCCTGTATTTCCTGCCTGGCTACTAGCCAATCAGCATTTTATTAAACTGATTTGAGTGACAAATCTTTACAGTGTACAAGAGGATTATTCCACAGCAGTTGGTCCCTTTACAAAAGAAACCCTGGAAAGTTCCCATGTTCCCTTTTATTCTGTGAAGATACAGCAAGAAGACAGCTGTGTTCAGAATGTGCTGAAAGACATTTACAACATTGTGGCATTGACTTTGTCAGATCACAAGAGAACATCACCACCTAAGATCGTTTTCTCAGCATAATTAAGTATGTGGGTATGGGGCATAGTATGGCAGGGAGGAATGTACACTGTTGATTTGTCCATTATCCAGAACTAAACATAGAGAAAGTGACCCAGAAAACTAAGGGACATATGATTGTAGCTGGAGTTTTCTCTAGTCCTACCCAGGCCTGTAGCCGCTCAGACCCAAATAAACACACAGAGGCTTATATTAACTAAAACTGTATGGCCTAATGGCTCAGGCTTCTTGCTAGCTTGATCTTACATCTTAAATTAACCCATTTCTATAAATCTATACCTTGCTACATGGCTCGTGGCTTACTGGTATCTTTATATCTTGCTCCTTGTGGCAGCAGCTGGCAGTGTCTCCCTGTTCTCCCTTTTTCCTTCCTCCTCTCTAGATAGGGTGTCCCATCTAACCCTATTCTGCCTCACTATTGGCCAAACAGCTTTATTTATCAACCAATCAGAGCAATATATTTTCACAGCATACAAAAACACTCCCATCACATGATGCTAAAAGAAAACCTGAACATTAAGTCCCAACGCCCCCTAGAAACTTTAGGAATGGTAGCAACATGAGGTTTTCAACTACCCCACAAAACAGAGGGCATCCCAATGCATAGGATCAGAGACAAAACCGAGCATTCAAAATCAGAAGATTCAACAGGGAAGGAAACTGAAGTACTGGGTTCTACCCCTCACAGGCAGCACTCATCTTTCATTCCTTAGGAGTCTACCCTTCTCATCTTTTCAGGCAGAGAATCCCATGTTTTCAGAATAAATCAGTGTGTTATCTTCCTTCTATAACCATATGTAGTATTGTTCTAAACACCTCGAATATGAGACATCTTAACCTTACAGAAGTTAAGAATGGGGGCTTTGTATATACCATGAAGTCTCTTTCCTTCACAAGTGTAAGAAAGCCTCTATTAATTATTCTGTCACATTATGCTTTGTCCTACTCTTTCCAAATAATAATAATAATAATAATAATAATAATAATAATACCTTAGATGAATACTACTTACAAAATATTCTCAAGTGCTAACTTGCTTGGTCACAGGACAATTACAAGATGAAATTATTCCCATCCTACAATTAAGAGAACAAGTTAAAGTCAAAGGCAAGCAACTTCCTTAATCTCACGTTTTCAGTAGGCATGAAATGAGGCACCCAAGCTCCAGAGATGAGCTTGGTTTTTGTCTGTTTTATGCACAGAGAGTGTGTTCACAATTAATCATTTAAAAAGCAGTTATGAAGTAGGAAGTTTGCAAACAATGGTGATAAAATATACTTAAAGTGTCTTGGAGACTCTGTGGGCCAAGGTAAGAAGTGGATGTGCCAGTTTTGCTGAGGTCTTGGGTATGTCTTATTTGGAGTCAAAGTTGCAATTTTGTCCCCAGAATTAGCAATATTTCAAAATTCTAATACTGGAGGCAACCAGGAAATTACACAGTAATGCACCATGGGAGAGGAGATTGCTTTCTGATGCTCCAGGCATTTGTTTTATGTGCTGACACAAGAACATTTGATTACTCTCTTAGCTATCTTATGGGGAGTAGGTGTAAATGTTAATATGCACCACACATTACCATAACCATGGGAATAAATTTCATGACATCAAGACCTGCAGGCATGCATTCTGTATCACAGCACCAGTCTGCCATTGGTAGACAGACTATCATCAGGTTCTGGTCTCAGAAAGATCCCAGGGTCAGAATTCATGAGCTGCAACCTGTTATCAGAGTTACAGTTTATTCTTAAAATTTACTGTTGGAAACAACATGAAATGTATTTCTTGCAGTAGGAGAGATTCCAGAAGAAAAAAATAAATCCTAAAGTTTAATGAGAGAGCAGCCGAGGGAAGTCATATGTGAGTTCTCCTGTGATAAAGTGATTGGGGTCCTTTTAGCTTGTCATGGTGGAGACAGTAGAAACAATTTTGTGTTTATTCAACTTCCCCAAGGCTCAATGCTTTGGAGCACCTGATGCATGCCCGGCACCAAATGTTTTGGAGCACATGATGTATGCTTGGTACTGTATTAAACACTTTGCACAAATCACTGCGTGAGTGCTCGTCATCACCTTGTGGGTTAATGTTGCTTTGAGACATTATAATACATACATATCTACCTACATACATACATATTACATATTATATGTATTTACAGATTGTCACCTTTTCTAAATACAAAATAAATTTAGAGTCAGTAGACTAGTGTGCAAGGAGCCTTAGTCTCAGGGAAGAGTCTGGAGATGGAGATAAAAATGGTGCTGATGGTGGAGGAGGGTCCCATGAGTTCCCACCTCTGGCTGAGAATTCTTAGGGGTTGATGGCCACTGGGGGAAGGAGAGTCAGCTTTCTTCAGGGATGTAGCCTTGTAGGTTGCCCAGGTTCCAATGGATAGCCTACACCGATGCACTCAAGTCACCACCCACTGGACTCAGTGGGCTGTTAAGGAAAAAAGAGAGGCAGTGAGGTTTGTTTGGAGATAGACAGGGAGGAGAGTCTGGAGAGAAGTTACAGGGCAGGAAGTGGGGACCAATACGATATGATTAAAATACATAGTCTACATGTATGAAATTCTCAAACATAGATAAATAAGAATTTAAAAATTCTTATTTTTAAAGAACCCAGGAGAAGAGATAAATCTCTGATTCTAAGGCAAAGGGGAACACAGTGGGTTGTTGGGTTTTCTCCCAGCTAACCATCTTTAATGTTACAGGGTAGCTGGAAATAGCCAGATTCACAGTCATTGTAGACCCAGTGTCACCTTGATGGATAGCCAGAGACTAAGACATTTTTCTTTGTCTCCCTTGTTTTGGAACTAGTAGTGCACAAAGCTGGGAAATATAGGAATCAAAATTCAAATAAAGCAAAAGAGAAATCCAGAAGTATTAAATGATATTTTTGACTGAAAATATTAATTTAACATGCAAGTCAGCTTCTGTTTATGGCCAGAGAAAGTAACTGTCACCAGACTAGTCCTCTTGTCTGAAGGAAAACAAATAGAAGATCCCATGACAGTCACTTACCATAAACACAACAGACTGTGAGATGATCGTGTCCAGGTGTTGACAACAGGCAGAGAAAACCATGATACTGAAGAGAAGGGAAGGCAGAAGAGCTTGAATACTTGAGGCCATTTCAAATCCCTAGCTGGAGAAGAGAGGTCCAGCCTGTAAATAGGAGAAGGCAGACATTATAACCAGATGTTTTTAGGGTAATAGCTTGGCATATGGCAGCCCCAATGAGATAGGCTTGGCCACCCATTGTGGCAGACCAATTAAAGTCACAAGTAATGGGGCAAAGCAGAAGATTTTGTTCAGTGTGGTCTCTCTGGGAAGAGAACTCATAAGGGAGCCTGGTCATTCCTGAGTTCATCACTGGGGTGTTTAAGTGATCCTTTTCTGGACTCAATCCCAGGCTGTATAGCAAGACCTGACTGTTTGAAACCATGGTGATTCCTCTGCCTCTGCTTCTCAACTACTGGGATTACAGGTGTGTACCAACACACTGTGCTTTCATGTAGCTGTATTTAGAAAGATATGACTGAATCAATCAATTAATAAGTTGATAATTTTATTTGAATACTTCCTAGAATTTAGATTGCAAAGATTTTTTTTAAATTACGGTTTATCATCGGGAAGACTCTGAAGCAGTAGGAAATTGCCTGTCGCCCACCCCACAAGACTCTGAAGCATTAGGAAATTACCTGCTGGCCCCCGCAATGCTCCCCTTTGGAACAAGCATCCCTGCTATAGCATCTCAGATGGGTTTTGTTTCTGGACCTCAACCATTACTGCCTTGGAAAGTCAGGCACATGACTGACATGCCATCCCCAGAGCCACCAAAGTTTAGCCTTTGGAGCAGAAGACATCACTCAAATATAGTGAGGCTTCCAGCTCTGTTTTGCCCCATAGGAGTTTCTGCTCATACACCTCTGGTCTGTGTCTGTTAATAGTGAACTTGGATCACGGTATTAATTTTATTAATTCACTGAATGTTTTCCCCCACTACCTTCAGATATTCAATTAAATGAGGCATTTGGGATCTTAAACTCATCCATCTGAAAATATCTTCTCCTGATCTGAGATGGTTTCATTAATTTGTTCATTTGACTGCATTTAACAACATCTAGTTACAGAGCTTCTATACCTGTGAAGTGTGGGTATCAGCAAGACTGATGAAGCAAGACACAGATGAGAAAGACATGGCCTTGATCTTAAAGACCTTGCAGTGTGAAGGGAAAGTCAGATAAGCAGAGGATGATGACCACATACTGTGGTGTGAACTACAGTGCCCTAGAGTTGGGTTTGTACAAGGATTAGAAGTTAGTTTTCTCAAAAATCTCACATTGCACTTACTATCATGAATACTTGGAAAAAATGTAAAGGTATGATTTCTAAATGTCTCCCTAATGATTCTGTGGAGTTAGGGCTGAGCAATCTACTTTAACAGAATACTCCAGGTGGTTCTTAAGCACACCAAACAACTGAGAGAACAGTTGCTATAGATCCATTGACCAAGGCTTGATCCCTCTTCAGTCTGAACTCTCACCAGAAATCCACAGCAGGCTGTGGTAGACAACACAGATCTATTGCAGAGGTAATCCTGACTCAAATATAAACCACTCAACTTTTTGGTAAAGGTATTATTGCAAATTCCTGGCAACTCACCGTTTAGTTGATCAATAAATAAGAGATTTTGTGTTCTAGAGGCTAAGGTTTAGAGCTCTATGTCTGGCCAGCTGTGACGCTTTGAGTACATTGTGTCTTCATTTCCTCATTTGTGAAACAGGGTGATAAAAGCACTACCATGTAGGACTGCTGCAAGAACCAATACATTCACACATATAATCAGAAAACACTGAAAACCCTGTGATCTGCTCCATGAGTGGTCAGTTTCTATCTCCTTCCTAACATAGTTTCTGGGGACATTTCCTAAGGAGTACAGAGCATGGCCACTGCTTTACACAGAACAGTGAGCAAAACAATGGGTCCCTATGTCATCCATTGTGGTGGTTTGAATGTAATCGGCCTTCATAATCTCACAGGGAGTGGCACTATTAGGAGGTGTGGCTCTGTTGGAGTGGGTATGGCCTTGTTGGATGAAGTGTGTCACTGTGGGGGTGAGCTTTGAGGTTTCCTATGCTCTTCACAGCAATAAAAACCTAACTAAGACACCCATGATCAAATAATCTGTGACTATGTTCCCTGACATGGGCAGAGAGTCTGCAGATGGAATCTGGGAAGGGAGAGGGTAAGTGGAAGATCCCATTACGCCCAACCCAAGTGGAGAACTTACCAGGTGCAGTCAGACATCGATACAGCCTTGTTGGCATTGTAGATGGAGGAAGGGGCTTGTGGGAGCCCACAGAGGTTTCCTAATGTGATCTGAGCTTGCTTTACCAGCAGTACTGCATAAGAAAATGATTGGACCACAGGCCTGGTTACCAGGTGTTTGGAAGGATCTATACTTGGCTGTATCTAGCAAGGGGGAGGTCTTTTGCCTCGCTCTATGGCATTGTTATAAAAAACCCATTTGAATAAAGTTCAGGCCTGGTGGATAAGGATCGAGGCCCTCTCAAGGCTATCCCATGTTTCTATCTGTTTCTCTCCCCTCTATCCTTCTATTTAAATCTCTTCTCCCTCACTCCTCAAGAGTACCCAGATAAAGGTGGGGGCTGGTCCCCCACAGGGGCTGTGAGCCAAAGGGTGTAGGCAACCTCTGGAATCTGACAAAAGCAAGGGAATGAGTCTGCCAGAAGGAAATAAAGTCCTATTAGCACATGAATTTTAGGTGGATGAATCCACGTCTGAAGAATGAATAGTTTAACTTCAAGAATATTGTAGAGGCACTGAGTTTATGGTATTTTGTTTGAGCAGGAATGAAAAGTTAACACATGGCCTTAGAGACAAATGTTCCCCCTTTTAATAATATACACATTAACATTTGTTTGTAGGTTTTGTACTCAATATGATTTCCTCCCATTTCAACAGCATACTTCTTGTCAGTGGAAGTAAGGATTTGTCTTGACTGTAAGGATTTGAAAGCTGTTATTTAATTTCAATAAATCTTCCATCTTCCAGGGTGCATGGTACAAAGGAATTCCTCCTGTTCTTTTTTAGTACCTCATCTCTAACATCCTCATATTTAATCATATGCTTCCCCCCACTTCCCTTAACCTTTAGAGGTTTGTTTCTACAGTATTTCCACCACATAATACCTTAAAGATTTCTGTTCATGTCAAACTTCCCATTATTCTGCAGCCTCTTCCCTGGTATGCCTGGAAACAGGGTCTGGATAATTGGCAATCACATTATTTGCTTCACTACTCTAAAATGCCATAAAATTATCTTTCAACTAAATGAACCTAAAAGAAATAATGCAACTAGAATATTTAAAGCCACAACTAAGAGAGTTTTTGCATTATTCTGAACTTTGGTTACTAAGTGAAGATAGTTTTTAAAGCTGTGATTAAAGATACATTTAAATTAGAATGCAGTTAAAAGGTGAGACAGAGCTTGTGAAATCTCATCTGACTCAATGGACCCAGTGGGAGAAAACGCTGTCTGCACTCCCAGATGTGGTTCATGGCGTCTCTATTGTACGAGAAGAACAATAACAAAGCTTGCAGCTCAGCACACTGAAATTGATGTAGGTTTCTTTTCATCGGCATATACATTTATGACAGCTGCCACCAGCAAATAAAAGCTTAATTTTCTAATTTATTAATGCATTCACAGAGCTGTTTGCCTTTTGTTTTAAGGAAGGTTCCACTAGTTTGGGTTGGTTGCAGCTCACACTTCCTGAGGAAAGTCTGAAGTGCCTAGAGTTGTTAATCCAGGAGGTGAAAGGGCCCTGGGTCACTCTAGGTGTAAGCAATCAGCTTCCAGAGGCATCTTCAGTGAGATGTCGGCCCCAGAAATGTCGCTGCAAGTTTTCTGTGTGTAATGCTGTGAACCTAGAGTTTTCTTCACATTGGGCATGAGCTCTCCCAACAAGCCACACCCTCAACCTTTATTGGGATCTTAGAATAATTCTCTATCCTCTGAGGCTACTCTGACCACAAATAGGATATTGGTTTCATGTCACTCTTTTTTTTTTTTTTTGGTTTTTTAAGACAGGGTTTCTCCGTGTAGCTTTGCGCCTTTCCTGGAACTCACTTGGTAGCCCAGGCTGGCCTTGAACTCGCAAAGATCCGCCTGCTTCTGCCTCCCGAGTGCTGGGATTAAAGACGTGCGCCACCACTGCCCGGCTTCATGTCACTCTTGATGAGAGCTGATGTTTATCAAAATACACCCAAAGGTTTGTGTGGTGTTCAAAAAACTTGGGGACGTTTTTACTCAGAAAAGGAAGAACTAGTGGAACACGACAGCTGAAGTCAAACATCTGAAGGGATGGCTTGTGGAGAAAGAGGTTGACCTACTTCTGCCTTTCAGGAAGGGATAGAAGTGTCCTGTGTTAGGAAGTTACACGAAGATTGAACTCCTGGGACCAGAACAGCTTGAAGATGGAGATGATGAGCTGTCCTTAGAGCTGGGTAGGCATCTCCAAGAACTTGGAGGTTCTTGTTCATATTAATATCCATGCTTTATGATGCTGCCATGTGTTGCTAGGTCAAATGAGGTCAACTATTAAAGCCCCAGTGTCATGCCCTCCAACACCTGCATCCTCTGTGCTGGGTGGGACCAGGTTGGGCATTGGCAGATGCTAAGAAAGAGTCTAGGCATCGCTCCCATACCCTGATCCAAAAGGCACAGGGACAGTTACGTGGTTACAGGGTATATATAGACGGCAACTGCATGTCACCATTTCTCCCTCTCTCCCTTGCACCATGAGGGAATTGCCTTCTATGGCATGGGTGGAGCCTCAGGATTCTTTTCTACACAACATCTACTTTACTGTGGGCTCCCAGATGAAACTGTGTCTTTTGTAATCCCCCGCTTTAAAAGACAAACTTGTGAATGTGTCTTCAGCCCCCAGTTCAAGATAAGTCAGCACGTTCTCTACTCTGGGGTTTACAAAGTGCATTGCTGCCTTGCCAGCTGTGTGGCTGCCAGGCTCAAGGAGCACTTCAAGGCTGGCACCTGTTTCCTATCTGTTTTCTTATTTTGGTGTTCTCTTCCTCCCTCCCTCCCTCCCTCCCTCCCTTCCTCTTTTCTTCTCTTTCCCTCTCCCCCCTCTCTCTGTATCTGTAGGTATGTGAAGGTGCTTGTGTGTGTGTGTGTGTGTGTGTGTGTGTGTGTGTGTGTGTGTGTACAGGCCAGAGGACAATCTCAGCTGTCATTTCTTGGGTGCCATCCATATTGAGTCCTGAGACAGTACCTCTTATGAACTTGGGGCTGGCTGGCCAATGAGCCTCAGGGATCCATTTGCCGGTGCTGATATTACATACTTATGCTGCCTCCCCGCACCGCTTCCCTCCCTCCTTCTTTCTTTCTTTTTTTTTTTCAAGACAGGGTTTCTCTGTATAACAGTCCTGGATGTCCTAGAACTCACACTGTAGACCAGACTGGCCTCAAACTTACAGAGATCCACCTGCCTTTGCCCTTGAGTGCTGGGACTAAAGGCAATCACCTCCATACCCAGCTGGCTATCTTCTTTATAATGTGGGCTCTAAGGATGCCACTTGTGTGTATATTTCTGCAAGGCAAGCATCCTTCTGACTGCACCCTCCCCCCAGCTCACAGTTATTTCTGTTTTTCTCTGGTTTTCTGCTTCTCTCTTCTCATAAGTATCACCAGAACAACATCAGTTCCCTTCTGTAGTAGCTGTTGAATCCAAGTTTAAGTTTTTCAACTTTCTGAAAAGCAGCCTCCAATATCTTCCTTGGTGGGAGAATAGCACTCCAGAGCCACTGTTGTCCTTGAACATCTAAAATTTGACTGCATAGGAGTCCCCTTCTGCCTTCCAAGCACTAACCATTCCAAACCTCCCCCTTTATTGTCCTTCTCTAGAGGTAGGAGTTCCTGTGACTGTACTTCCCTTAGCCTGTTTACATAGCACAACTATATAGCTAATTAAATGTTATTTGGCTTTCTTTTCCAATGCTGGTAATTTTTTTGTCACATTTCTCAATAACACTCTTGGCTGCCTTCATGACCCTCTTTCCCTCTCTCTGTTAAAATATCCCCTTAAAATGTGAGAGAAGAGGAACACTAGGGAAATAGAAAGGCTATACTCCAGGCCAGATCCAGATAGTGCACACTCATAGCTTGAATGGCATGTTGAATAAACAGCTCAGCATGGATGTGATGTCATTAACTATAATAAAACAGTAGAATGCAATACAAAAATGTTTTTTTTTTAGGAATCATAAAGTCATAATGATTAAGTATAAACCAAAAACTTATGGATAAAAGGATCTAAGGAAAATAAGTCAATGTTCAGCCAGAAATGTTAAATAATTACTAAAGAGGCTTACAAATCAAGGAAACAATGAAAACAGCTACGTGTCTAGCATATGGCCAGAAAATGATTCCTCCTGCAGTGAACAGTTTTGAGTGGAGATAAAAAAGAATAAAACCTGCACCTGCCCTTCCGGTTCAAGTACCTACCCTGCCAGGATCATCTGAACCCTGAGCTACCTGCAGGTGAAGGTTAATTATTTTTAATATTACTGCCTCTTAAGCATGTACTGTGTTAACCAAGTAAGTGTTTTGTTAGGTACATATTGATATATGGTGTCTTATTACATTTAATGTTCAAGAAGTCATGTTCCAATTTTAGAATGAAGGAATCTGTGTTTTCAGAGGTAGCTGGTAGTTGTCCAGGGTTTCTCAAACAGCCAATAATTGAGCTAAGGTTAGACACTTGGCCAACCTGATGCCAAACATTGCCCTTTCTACCACCTCCAGCTGCCCCTCTTCCTACCTTGTCCTTCCTTGCTATTTGTAATGTTTCTCTTATTAACTTATCAGT